AGAACTAAATAGGATAGATACTGCATGTTCATGGATAAGCTCAATATTGTCAAGATGTCAGTTCTTTCTAACTCACTCTGTAGATTCAATGCAATCCCAATCAAAATCCCAGCAAGTTATTTTGTGAATGTCAGTAAACTGATTCTAAAGTTTATATGGAGACGCAAAAGACCCAACTCAATATTGAAGGAGAAGAACAACATTGGAGGACTGATGCTGCCAGACTTCAAGACTTACTATAAAGCTACAGTAATCAAGACAGTGTGGTACTGATGAAAGAATAGACAAATAGATCAATGAACAGAATAGAGAGTACAGAAATAGACCCCCATAAATATATCAACTGATCTCTGACAAATGAGCAAAGACAATACAATTGAAAAAAGATTGTCTTTTCAACAAATGCTGCTGGAAAAACTGGACATCAAAGGGCAAAAAAAAAAAAAGAATCTAGATACAGATCTTATTCCCTTCACAAAACTTAACTCAAAATGGATCACAGACCTAAAAGTATATTGCAAAACTATGAAACTCCTAGGTGACAACATAGGAGAAACCCTAAATGACCTTGGGTATGGTGATGACTTTTTATAAACAATAATGAAGACACAATCCATGCAATAATTGATAAGCCATAATTCATTAAAATTAATGATTTCTGTCCTGTGAAAGACAGTATCAAGAGGATGAGAAGACAAGTCACAGACTGGGAGAAAATATTTCAAAAGACATATCTGACAAAAGCCTATAATTCAAATATACAATGAATTCTTAAAAATCAACAATAAGGGGGCTTCCCTGGTGGCACAGTGGTTGAGAATCTGCCTGCCAATGCAGAGGACACGGATTCGAGCCCTGGTCTGGGAAGATCCCACATGCCGTGGAGCAACTAGGCCCGTGAGCCACAACTACTGAGCCTGTGCGTCTGGAGCTTGTGCTCCGCAACAAGAGAGGCCGCAACAGTGAGAGGCCCGCGCACCGCGATGAAGAGTGGCCCCTGCTCGCCACAACTAGAGAAAGCCCTTGCACAGAAACGAAGGCCCAACACAGCCAAAAATAAATAACTAAAATTAAAAAAAATCAACAATAAGAAAATAACCTGATTAAAAAAATGGGTCAAAGACCTTAGCAAATACCTCACCAAAGCAGATAACTAGATGGCAAACAAACATACGAAAAGATGTTCCACATCATGTGTCCTCAGAGAAACGCATACTGAAATGAGATACCACTACACACTTATTAGAATGACCAAAATCTGGAAAACTGACATCACCAAACGGTGGTGGGGATATGGAGCAACTCTTATTCATTGCTGGTGGGAATGCAAAATGGTGCAGCCACTTTGGAAGGCAATTTGGTGGTTTCTTACAAAACTAAACATACTCTTCTCATATGGTCCAGCAATTGTGCTCCTTGGTATTTACCCAAAGGAGTTGAAAATTTATGTCCACACAAAAACCTGAACATGGATGTTTATAGCAGCTTTCTTCACAATTGCCAAAACTTGAAAGCAACTAAGATGTCCTCCAATAGGTGAATGGATAAACTGCAGTACATTCAGGCAATGGAATATTATTCAGCACAAAAAAGAAATGAGCTATCAAATCATGAAAGGACATGGAGGAAAGTTAAATGCCTATTAACAAGAGCAAGAAGTCTATCTGTTCCTCTCTTTCTTTAAACTTTTATATTCATCCAGCATTCCCTACCATTTTTATCCTAGTAATATATCTTATGCTTAAAACTCAATAGTGATCACTCCATTTACTTCTCTGAAATGTATATATTTAAAAATTAAAAAGACTTGCTATGATCATAAATCCATTGAGCCTTTTCAGAGATTAAATTATAATTTCTGAAGTCCCTTCACTGTGAGATCATCAGAGATGACATTAATTAAGGACTGCTCAATTATAAGTCCATGATAGCATTTGATATAGTCACCCCTCCATGTAAATCATTTTTTTCACTTTCCTTCTGGGCAAAATTTTAAAACTTCACTTCCTAACAGTCTTCCCATTGCTCACTTTGCTTCAGCCATCCTGTCTTCCTTGTCCTTTCTCAAATACAACCAAGCACTCTTTCTACATCCGCCCATTGCACATGGTGTTCTCTCTATCTGGAATGTCCTTCTTCTAGATAGCTTCATGACTTGATCACTCTGTACATTCACATCTCTTCTTAAATGCCAGCTCAGTTCATCACTGAGGACTGCTCTCACTCACTTTAAAATAGTACCCCTACTCTTCATGTGCATCACTAACTATTGATCCTTTCTCATGACATTTATCATCCCCAAATATCATACATTTGTTTATTGTCAGTCCCATACCCCATTAAAAGTAAGCTCCCTAGAAAACCCTAAGGAAAATGGGGATTCTGATGTATTTACTTCTGTATCTCCAAGGTCTAAAACAGTACCTGGTACATCGTAGGGGCTGACTAAATGTTTGCTGAATTTATTGAATAAAGAACAAAAAGAGAAGAGATACTTACTAATTTATTTTAGTAACTGTACTTTAGAAAAAAATACCGTAATACATTTTCAAAATTTTCAAGAGTCAAATGGTATATTTACCTTCAAAAAGATGTATAAATTATTTTAAATGATTTTAAAAACCTGCAAATTATTTTATAAAATACTCAGTACACTAGTGATGGTATTCTTTAAATTTACATAATCTATTAATAAAATACAATATCACATGAAATAGAGGTTTGCATTGTAAATAATTGATAACTGAGTGCCTTTATTTTTATGGTACATAATCAGGACGAACGGGGGAATAAAAGGATTAGTAACGATAATGTATAAAATTATTTGAAAATTATATACATTTTGAAATTCATAACAAAACAATAAAATGAACAAATTGTCAAGTTTCTATCACTGAAAACCAGGAACTGTTATTGGGAATCACTCATTTTCTAAACTTTGTTAGATCTATTAATACAGTGAATGTTCCAGACTAAATTTTTTACGACATTGGTAATTTTGTGCTTCTAAAACCAGAAGAACTAATTAATGACATATTGAAATCTCTCTGAAAAGACAGTATTTTGGAATGACCCATTAGCATATAACATTCTAAGTCCTAAAACGTCCTGGAACCTCAAGGAGTGCTTAGTTGGATCTAAGGAGACTCCTTTCAGTGGTCTCTGGATGCATACGGTCTGCTTGCTTCAGTAGATTTTAACAACCAATTCTCTCATCACTATTCTCTGTGCATCTCAAATAAAATATTAGCTACTTGTATCTTTTAAGAAGTACTATTTGAATCTAGGCCACACTGTACAGATACAAATTTTCTCTCAAAAAGAACTTTGCCCTGGTCTGCAGATGCTTCCTTATCCATCTCTGAGTGGAGGAGAAGTGGCCCTGTACCAGTCACTATGGCTGAAAAACAAATTACCCCCAAACTCTGTGGTGTAAAACAACCATTTATTATGATCACATATTCGGTGGGTTAGGAACTGGAATATGGTGCAGCTGTGACAGCCTATCTTTGCTCCATGACGTTTGGGACCTCAGTTGGCAGACTTGAAGGCTAGGAGCTAGAATCATCTGAGGACTCATTCACTCTCATATCTGATGGTTGATACTTGTCCCCCCACACAGGCTACTTTCAATTTTGTCATTGCCTGGTGGTCAGATTTCACAAGTGAGTGTTTCAAGAGAGAAAAAGAGATAGGTGGAAGCCTTATTGCCTATTATGATCCAGCCTCGAAATCATGCAGTGTCATATCCATCACATTCTATCTGTTGGGGCATTCAGAAAGATCGGCCCCAGACTCAGGGGAGGAGAAACAGACTCTGCTGACTGACGGAGAGTGGCAAGAGAATGTTGGCCTGGAAACACTGCTGTGGCCTTCTTAGGAGAATACAACCCACCACAGATCCTAACTGGATGCTATTTTTTAGCATTCTCAGTTTCTTGAGGGTGTTACTTCTACCTCCGGTTCAGATGACTGCTGGAGCAAGTCAGTATTCACCTAAATTACAAGAGGTAATATCGGTCTCTGAATTATAGTCAGGAAGAATAACTTCAATATTTATGGGACTCAAAAGGTAGGAAAAATCAAGGTCGAGAAATAATAAATATGGAAGAGTAAGCAAACAATGATGGGATAACATATTTGAGAGACAAGTCATTTTCTCTATTGGTCTTATTTTCAACAAACCACTTGCAATTGGACTTGCCTTTCTTCTTAAAACAGTTGTAACAACTTCCTTAAAAAACACATCATACCACGTCTCCTTGAAAACTGTGCCCTTGCCTACACGTACGTTTCTGTCCCCAACATCTTGGAGTGCCTTCCTTAGCAAGTAGAAAACAAGGAGGGAACCAGATGCATGTACACTTCTTACCCTACTCACTTCACAGAAACCCCATTCTTAATCCTGTGGGTTTATACTGCTCTGTGAGTTGAGCAGCATGAAAATCCTCCTGAAGCCTCAATGCAAATGTTTCTCTAATCCTATTAAAGCCACAAAACACACCCAGATGAATGAGTAGGAAACTGAGCTAGAGAACTCTCCCCGACCCCAGTACCACTGTCAGTTTTGGCACTGACTTCATTGGTCAGCCTCTCCCTCTAAGTACGGCATGGCTTAAATGGGAAACCAAAACTCTGGCCTTCTCTGTCTAGGACACTCAAGTCAAACCTGTATGCTGTTTTAGCCAAAGCTCTGGAGAGGATTCTGAATATACTTTTTAAATGTAAAGAAAAAGGGTTGGAATAGGACATATAAAAAATAGACACAAAACAATACAATGGTCTATTTAAACTGGTTTTCTCTTTTTAAAACTAAGATATAATCATATATCATATATTTAAACAAAGGATTATACAGCAGGAAGCAAAATCTCTCCCAGCCCACCTCCTAGAGATCATTGATCACATTTTTCTTTTGTTTATTAAAATATATTTTGCATTACAACACACACACAGAGGTATATAGCAAAATATATTTAAATCTACAGGATCATATGATTCAGGAGGTTTTACAACCATATCAACAAATGTAGATAAGTATAATTCTTTTTAGTAAACACACAGTATTCCATTTTAACATAATTCATTTAACCAGTCCCCTATGGATGGACATTTAGGTTGTTTCTAATTTTGAAATATCAAAAAATAAAACTCTATTGGGTGAATATGTGCCACGGGATATTTAACAAAAACACATTTTCCAATGTGATAAGGACTGACTGTTAAACTTTCTGTAGTAGCTTAAAGGGCAGTTGGAAGAGAAGGCTTTTTAAAGATGTACGCATATAAGATGATACTCTACTTCACAAATCAGAAAAGTTAATCTGTTAAAATGTGTTGGTAGTAACAGTTAGGGCTTGACTCTTGTTAATGAGGCCCTTGGGAAAATATAAACACTCTTCCTGAATTCAAATCACGCCTGCGCACCACATTCTTGTCTTCAGCTCGAGCTTCTGGCGTTGCAGCCTGCAATTGAGGCCTTGCATCAGATGCCAAACTAAACATTTGGGAACAAGAATTGTAATGACCTCCTGTTTATGTTTGTTTGTTTTAAGTAATTTAAAAACATATAACATGAAGTAAAACACAGAAAAATTAGGATGGGGAAATAACTCTAAGAAATAGGAAACTGGATATCTTTCAAAGGATTTTCTTGGATATTCATACATTATTCAGAGCACATAATTAATTGTCAGTGTAGATTAGCATGACCTTTGAAACAGAGAAGAAGGAAGGAGAGATATGAATTCCATCCAGACATTAGTGAAAAATACAAAAAAATAAAATTACCTGAATGCATGGGACAAGAGAGAACAGAGGTTCATTCCAGTTCACTTTCCACATCTCCATGTCTAGTGAAGTTTGCATGACTGACTAATGGGCATTCTAGTGAAGCCACGACAGATTGATTACTGCTGTTGTTTTTTTAATCATGAACTTTTTCATGTAGTTAAACCCTGCCTCATTCTCTATTTTAAGAAGGGAAAATAACTGTCTGCCCCTGAAGGCTTTCATATTAAACATGTCAAAGCATATTACTGATGATGTAAAAAGCACTTTGACATGTTTAGCATGAAATACTTCAGTGTCAGAAAACTATTCTCTTCTTAAAATGCCAGATTGTTCTCAAAGGCCTGAAGGAGTCTGTGGACTTATTAAAAGAATGTGCTAACATCCCCTCCATTAGTCTTTACAATGTTCGTTCCTATGGAAGAAGGTTCCCTTTGGTGGAGTAGTAGTGATTGGAAGGAGGCCGGGGTTGGGGGGTGTCTGAGATGTTGGCAATTTTCTGCTTGACTTAAGTGCTGGTTACACAGGTGTGCTTTCTTTGTGAAAATTCATTGAGTGGTATTCTTAGACTGTAGTTAATTTCTCTTGATATTTAAAAGATATTAATGGCTTATTATTGATAATCAGCACAACCAAATCAAAAAAGAATGTTTCTACACTGATGAAACAGCTAGTTTTACATTATTGTGAATCACTCTGTTATGTACTTCCTAAGTACAAATGTTTTCTTAATACTTAATTGAGAGGGTGATATAATCAAGGGTTAATTTATATGCTTTTCTTACTTTCATGTATATTAGTACTATGTCTGAAAGAAAATACGCAATTTCCTCCAAATAATGACAGTAAAGACTTATTAAGCACTTATAACATGCCATGTGTCAGGCTCGTTTATATGCCCACTACCATTTAATTCTTAAAGAACTAGGAGCTTTCCTGCTGAGAAACACCATTCTAAGGTGGTACTTTCTGAATATTCAATAACATTCGCTATTGCTTGCACAGAATCTTCTTTCCTTTAGATCTGCAGGTTCTTTCACTTATTCAAGTATAGCTGAGGACCTATAATATGCCAGGCATGGTTCTAAACAATGTTGCAGTCTTAAGAATCCTGTCCTATTTCTCCAATGCATCTCTTTGGGGGCATTAGGGAGGACACACATCTGGGAAAAGCCTTGACAATGATGTTTTAAATATCTTTTAGTTTTATAGCATATCTGGGACTCGACAAAGAAAAGCACAGAATAAGGGGGGAAAGGCAGTATAAGGAAGCTTTCCGTACTTCAGCATGCTTAACTAATCACTTCTCTGCAGATTAGATTTATCTTCCAACCAGTAAACATTCTGTGGTGCCTATTCTGTTCAGTATCACACAATTTGTCATTTATCGATTCACCAATTACTCCAACACCAATTAACAACCAGCCCAATTAATTCATAAACTCTATGAGAATCGGAGTCAATGCTTTATATTACTAGGGGTTGGCAAACTTTTTTGTAGGAGTCCAGGTAGTACATTTTAGGCTTTTTGGGCCATATGGTCTCAGTCACAATTACTCAACTCTGCTCTTGTAGCACGCAAGTAGCCATAGATAATATGCAAACAAATGGATGTTGCTGTGTTCCAATAAAACTTTATTAAAAAATAGGCAGCAAGCTGAATTTGGTCCATTAGTCATGTTTGGCAAACCCCTGCTTTATCCCACAGTATCTTTTATAGTGCTGGACAGGTAGCTGGCCTCAGTAAATACATCTTGCTTGACAGAGTCAAGGGCATTGAAAAAGGAAATGCAGGAAATGGGAAGGGAAGTGGCATTAATTCTGAGTTCTCTAAGGGGACATATCCACATTCCCTCTGCTGCTAACCTGGATTATACCTCTTCCTCTTTGAAATCAGATTCTACAACTACAGGGAATATTACTTCTACTGATTTAAGGAAATCATATTAGGAAAAGGAAAAAAAAATCTGACAAGAAATTCAAATTGATGAGGGAGCATAAACTTGCTCAGTGTAGTATTTTTTCCCTTGCAAGCAGAAAACAGTCATTTGTATATAAGGTAGGAAACTCCAATGGGGAAAAAAAAAGGCCCTATTCGTAAAAGAATGCATCATAGAAACCCAAATATGGGTGGTCCAACCAAGCGAAAGTGGTTGGCAGTGGGATTTAAAAAACAAGATTAACACAAGATGTTAAGTCCTGAAATCCATCTAGTCACAAACATGTGTGTTTTTAATGACATTCAGAGCCATTTCCATAAAATGAAAGAACAGAGGTTAATTTATTTCATTGAAAACATTATGAAAAATCTTAGAATTCCCTAGAACTAAGAACCTTTTATTATTTTCTCATGGCTGAAAACCATGTTCATCTGCCAGTGACAAGTAATGCTCATGGTTAGGTGGAGATAGAAGACTGATAGCAGCATAAGATGACAGCAAGGGACCACAGTACCATTTTTTTTTTTCAACATAAAATTGACATATGAGATGCGGACACAGTGAAGGGGCTCTTCATAAAACAAAGTTAACAAAATAAGTACAGGTTTTTCTCAGACCCTACTGAATAGAACCATTATTTCAGTAAGAGGAATCACCCCAGGCTCAGTCCTTGCTGTGACTGCCACTCTCATTCATTCATTAATATTTACTGAATGCCTACAAAATACCGGGCACTGGGGTACGTATTAGAACATACAGCTTTTTTTCTTTTAAAGTGCATCATTATTCTTTTGGGGAAACACACAACACCATTTAAAACAGTAAAATCGTTTCAGTTACTGTTAAGTGCTAGGGGAAAAAAATAAGTGCTAGGGAAAAAAACGAAGGCATGGCAGCTCCTGGGAGGAACGTGTGGTGTGATTTTAGCTAAAATGGCTAAGAGATAGCCTTTAGGAAAACTTTGGAAGATTTCAAGTTTGGTAATGTGATGATCAGATTTATGCTTTGAGAAGACAGATCACGAGATGCTGGATGGACAATACACTGCAGTGGAGAAGGGGGGCATAAGAACGGAAGCAAGTAGTCCTGGTAAAGGTGATGGTGGCCTGCCTGGTCTTATGACATAGTAGTGGAGACTGAGGAGATATTCTAAGCCATATCTGACCTGCCGAAAGATGAAATTAGCTTGGGCTAGAGAGGATGCAATGGAGAGGTGGTAAAAAGTTGATGAATTCAGTATTAATTTGGAGTATGTTTGTCAGTCTTGTTGGAAGACTATGTGAGTTGTGGAAAGAGGATGACTTCCAGGATTTAGGTTTGAGTGACTGTGCCATTTACTGAGATAAGAAAGACTTCTGAAGGGGAAAACCTGGCAGGGAATGGGTGGCAGAAATCAAGAATTCTGCTTTAGACATAAGCCCTTCTCACCAGCCCATGCCCTGAGGTCGACTTCACAAGAGAGGCAGTCTGGGTATTGTGCTCCTCCTGGGAAAAAATAATTATGTTTTAGCCAAAGGATTATGCACATAACAGAGGTTCAATAAATACACGGTAAGTGAATTTATGAAACAAGTCATTATCCAACCAGTTTTCAAAGTCTAATTATGTGAACAGAATTAGCAAGTTAGTTAAGAAGCATGACAGGCTTTCACAGAAATGATTTATTTGCATTTCTTACCTAAAAACCAGCTTCTTCACCCTCTCAGATTTCAAGATTCGACCCTTGGTGGCTATACTCCCTTCTACACTGGTACACTCCCTGCTGGTATAACTGTATTCGCAAGGAATAAAAGTGCAAGAATGAGTATTGATGCATTGCTACAGTTTGCAAAACTATTACCAGTCCAGAAATACAAGAAGAGTTCTTTGATCAAGACATAGATTTTACAACTAAGTGAAAATAATACTCTTTCACCAAACATTTTGGACTAAAACTAGCCTTGAAACAAGACAATACTATATTAATGTCTATAAGAAGTAGAAATTCTGTAACTGGGTGCTTTGGAGCCTTCCTTTTTTTCCTTTCTTGTTCCCATAATTATCAGTTTTGAAAAGCAATCCAAGTATTTTCATTTGGATAATACCTAGTTACTTATCTTTTTATATTGTGTATAGCCTATAAATAGCTCTTTATATATCATGTATGTTTAATTATATGATGATTATCTATAAATTCTTATTTTTTAAAGAGAACTTAATAAAATAAAATGATATAAGTCACTCATGTCACGATCCAGAACTAAGCTCTGTTAAACTGTGATATATATTATACAATACATCTACCTAGAGACTAGTACTCTCTTGTTGCTTGAAGGCAATAAATAGCCCTCCGTCTTATGAGATGACACACGCACCTCCACCCCTGCAACCCTTCCACTAAGATTTACACCTCTCGTCTTCAAGACCTGGCCCCCAGACTAATGCCATCTATCGAACTACATCATAATCCACCCTGGGAAGTGAGGTGCCTGCTAAGGAAAGAAAGGGACTATATCGCAAAGGCCCTGTAGGACCCAGCCAACATGTACCAGCAGGAGGCAGGAGACTATGTACGAGACAGTGCTGGATCAAGAAGAGACAGAATATAAGTTTGGATAAGGGAGAGTTTATTGACATGAGACCATTCTCGCACAGGATTTAATACCCTAGCAAGACTACATGAGATGACACTAAGACACTGCTACGATGGCTCTTGGAAGCATACAGAAAGCAATGGTAGGAATGCCACAACCTATGGCTGACAGTAGAAGTCCTATCACAAACTACACCACCCAGAAGCTGCTGGCCTAATAGTGATGGAATGATCTATTGAAGGTACAGTTGAGACTCCACCTTACAAATGATATCCTATAATCCATTCTCTAGGATATAGAATACACCCTAGATCAACAAACATTATAAGGAGCTGTGTTCCCAGAAAGTAGAATTCATAGTTCCCAGAACCAAGAGGTGGCAGTAAAAGTGGCCCTACTTATCATCATTGTTAATAATTGACTTGGAGACTTTGTGCTTCCCATTCCAGCAAACTCTAGGCTTTAGAGGTCCTGATTTTCTGTTGCTATCCCAACAAAGGACAAGTATAAGTCCCATTAAACTTTAAGCTGGTACTGCCACCTGGTCACTTCGGGCTCCTCAGGCCAAAAAACTGTACGCAAGGAAAGAAGGCAGGGGTTATTGATCCTGATCAGCAAGAAGAGATAGGGCTGCTACACAATGGGGTAAGGTAAGACTATGTCTGACACCTAGGTGATCCAGGAGGGCAACTCTTGGAACTGCCTTGCCTCATTTTACCTGTAAATAGACAAGTTCAGCAGCCATAGCCCGAGAAACACATGGCAACAGAGCCTTAGAGGTCTTATGACTGTGGATCTGGGTTATCTCAACAGGTAAGCCCCCAGAACAGCAGAGTTCAGTCAAGGGTAGAGAAATCTAGAAAAAGGAGTGGAGGAGGGAGATGAGAATCACTTGTAGCCTTGAGACCAGGTGAAGAAGTAGGAATTACAGCTCTTCCCACCAACTTTCCTTTTTTGTTTCCCCACAAAAGAAAATCAGAAGACCAAACAGAATCCTGGAGGAACTGTTACAAAAACCTATATAAAGGAAATAGACTTGAGTAGTGAAAGGAATGGATGGTAGACCACCACTCAGCGTCTACTTTCAGGACTAATTCCCATAGTTGCTGGGAATGTTGGTGGCTGGTGGGGCTCAGCTAAATCCCTCTCCAGGAATTGCTACCTTGACCAAGGTCATGCCCTCTCTCTGAGAGCCTCTCATATTCAATGACTGGTCTTTGCAGGGGTATCAAGGCCCAGATACCTTGCCTCAAGGTGATTCAACTGTAAAGGGCCAGCCCAGTTCCAGGACTCTATGGGATTAGCTGAAGCCCTTACACAACTGCATTGCAACTCCTCCCTTTGCCCAAACCTACTTCTTTCTCCCCACATAGAAGCTGGTCCTAAAAGAATTCTCTAATTTCCTGCACACAAATCTCAATCTCAAAGTTGCCTTTGGGGGACATACGACTTAAGACAAACTGGTAAGGCTACACTGTATTGGCTGATTATTAGATCTGGAAATGGCATAAAAACATGAAATCCTAGAGCTGGAAGAGACCAGGAAGACCATCCTGTTCAGTGGTAAGCACTTTTTTTGCTCCCAAAGATAAGTTCAGAAAAGTGGTGGGAGGGTAGGAAGACAAAGGAAAAACATTCAAAATAATTTTTATAAGTTCCTTGGAAAAATATCTTTATGACTTTAGGGTACTTATTTTAGTAAACAGAAGAACGTCATTGAGAAAATTAGTAGTGCTTTTGGAGACTGGTTTTGGTGCCACAACTAGGGTGCTACTGCATCCACTAGGTAGAGGCCAGGGATGCCACTAAACATCCAATGGCTATATTACCCCCAACAACAATTAATTATCAGGACCAAAATGCCAATAGTGCCAATGTTGGGAAATCCTGGTTTAGAGGTCACCAAGTATAGACACTCATCATCTCACTTCATTCTTGGGATTAGGGGGATTACTGGCATCGCTTCATTACTGATGGCGAAATAGAAGGAAAGTGACTTTGCAAAGGTCAAAAAGAAAGCTACCAGTAAAAACCGGTCTAGTAGTTCATTCCATTTTATGCAATTTTTTCTGGCCCGGATGGCTGTCACTATAGAAATGGAGAACACTGGATACTTCTTACTTCCCTTAATCTCTTCCTTACAAATCAAGCCTATTTATAAAGCTTGATCTGCAGGCTCAAGATCGTTATTCGCTGATAACTTCAAACCCTTCATTATATTAAGAAGCTAAACCTTGAATTTCCATCAGAGAAAAAAAGTCATTTGCAAATACATGCATTGTACATTTACATAACATTTATTCCCAAAGTTTGATTCTAATAAAGCACCTCTACATTGTACAGAACTACTGGTGGATTTAATATACTTATATATAGCATTTGCTAAATATATTTTTTGCTTGTCTTTTACCCCTGAGAGACAGGCTCAGTAAGTACTCTCGCCATTGGTAATACACAGATCTGTCTACAGGGAGCACGGAATCTAGTGGTCGGGGGTATTCCTCTGGAGTACCAATTCTGCCATTTTCTAGTGGTATAACCCGAGACAAGTTACCTAAACTTTCTCAAAGCTTAAGTTTTCTTACCTGTAGAATAGTAACTGACTTACGAGGCCTGTTACAAGGCGAAATGCAATGACTAATAAACCATACACACTGAATAAATGGTAGCTGTAGTGAATATCTATTGCTTTTTGGCTTTCAGCATCTATCACTCCTTTTTAATGGCAACTTGAATTTCCTTTGGGTATTAATTCTTTCCCATTGGATATAGTCTGATGGACTGTAATTAGGAATCTTGCCCTCTCCTAGCCAGAGGGCAGGTATGTAACCCAAACTAATCCAATCAGATGCTCCCTCCCTGGAATTTATACACTGTGTGGAGAAACAAAAAGAATACAGTTAGTTTTGTCCACTCCTAGTAACGGTAGTCTGCCCAGTTATTGTTGTTGTTGTCTTTTAATTGTGACACCATTGTTAATGTTGCTGCCTCTGAATTTCCAAAGATGACTTGCTTCTTTTGCCCATTTCCAAGTCGAATGTACAGCCTTCCAACAATTCTGCAAGCCTTGGATATCCTTTCAACAAAATCCCTTATCCTAATGTTAGCCTGATGCAGTTGTATTGCTTGTAACCAAAGAACCCTACAGGTATACAGGTGCTGTATCTCACACCAGCACCAAACAGCTAATCTAATTAATATGTTATTAAATTAGGTACAAATAAGATTAATGACTTCTCTCTGCCTTCAGAAATAATGTCTAATCATTGATTTGCCTTTTGGTTTTAGCCCTAATACATATCCACACACAGTAAAATCTACATAGGAATTGAAGACTGTTTACCTAAAAGAAAATTTTCCTGTGGAGCAAAGGTGCTGTTTAAGCAGTCATCTCTGTTTGCTCTCTGCTGGAGCACTTCTTGGTAGGACTTCAAGAAATACAAGGCAAATGAAAAGAAACTGCATTTCTGATTGATGTCTGATTGCCTGGTCCACAATTCTATAGGCTCACCTGAGATCTTAAATAAGAATCTTTTCAGATACAGAGGCTTTCATTATTTTTGGCTTTCCTTCTGTGTCTTGGATGTGGTTGCTCTTTGGGTATAGCTCTGGGTCAGACTCTGTGTGGTAAATCTGAATGTGCAATTACTGGCATCAGGGTTGGAGGAGAGAACTGCAGCAGTAGTGTAACGGCATGTTTCTTAAACAAGGAAAGAAATGAATAATCACTTTGGTTTTTGCTTTACAGATGCTTTGATCCATTTCATTTTTCACTGTGGGAAGGTAGAATGGCAATTCTCTGAGTTAACTTTAGCGTTCACTTCCCAGAATAACTCTTTCAAGGCCACGGAATATTATGCCTCCGTCAGCTGGGCTGCCATATGAAGAAGCCAGTAAGATGGCATTTCAGTGCAGGGCACAAAAATACTTTCTTTCCCACAACTTGGTATATAAAATTCAGTGCTCCATTAGCTTCCCACATCCCAGATCAGATAGTTCTAAAGGCAAACATAGTAATTCTTCCAGCAGGGAAATTTGGAAAAACTAAATACATACATAAGAAGGTCAAAGACGCTATGATTCTTGCTGAATAATTATGCCAAGTGTCAGATTTTTGTTAAAAAATATGAGAAAAGCCCATTAGCAGATGCTGCAACGGGTAACTGTTCTTATTTTCAGTATTACTGAAGCAGCTTTT